CAACAAGAGCGAAACTCGGTCTCAAAAAAAAAAATAAATATAAATATAAATAAATTAGAAAAAGTAACCCCTGGCTAGTAAAATCAGACACTGCTGAAGTCTCCCCAAAAGACTGAAAGTCTCCCAGCCAGGAAGATCCAGCCTGAAGGTATGTACATACCTGGAGGGAGAATGGGCCCATGGAAATAAGCATCAGCTTCGAGGTAAAGAAAAGGAGTGTCCAGGGGGAAGCTGAATTTGGTCATCAGCTTGGAGGACAAGCTGGGCCGTAGGTTGGGCATCCTTACATGGGTCCAGAGCAGGCACTCAGCACTGCATATAGATGGAAATACCGAGCAAACGCCCGGGAAAGGGGATCCTTGTGGGGGGACTGACCCTTCTCAAGCAGGGAAGCTTCCCTACCTTGCCCAGGGCAAGGCTTCCAAAATCACTCAACCAGCCCTGGATGAGAATGCATGCTCTGAGCAATCCTAAGATTACAATTTGGCTTCCATGAGGCTTTCCCATAGGGACAGGAGGTTCTGCCCAGGCACACCTGAGTTTTCAGACACACTGCCATTATATTTCCCCACCACGAACTGCACATTATGCCTTCTGACCTATACGTCAGTCTCTTGTGAGTTTGGTTACTGTGTGTCAGGCTTTGAGAGAGGATCCTCTCAGGCAGACAAGTATTTGGAGGCCTATCTAGCTACAGCCCTGAAATGAGAGCACATGTCCATCAAAGACATGGAGAGAATATTCAGGAAGCTAGGCACAGCGGCACACGTCTGTAATCTCAGCGCTTAGCACATTTGCAGGCAGAGGTGGGAGGATCACTTGAGCCCAGGAGTTCAAGACCAGCCTGGGATAACAATGAGACCCTGTCTCTGCAAAACGTTTTTAAAAACATTAGCCAGGCGTGGTAGAACACGCCTATAGTCCCAGCTACTCAGGAGGCTGAGGTGGGAGGATGGTTTGAGCCCAGGAGTTGGAAGCTGCAGTGAGCTGTGATTGCACCACTGCACTTCAGCCTGGGCAACAGAATGAGATCTTGTCTCAAAAAAAAAAAAAAGTATAGCGCAGCTTTATTCACAAGAAATCCAAATGTCTATCAACAAAAGAGTGGGGGGCGGGTATGGTGGCTCATGGTTGTAATCTCAGCACTTTGGGAGGCCGAGGCAGGTAGATCACCTGAGGTCAGGATTTTGAGACCAACCTGGGCAACATGGCAGAAGAATCGCTTGAATCCAGGAAGCGGAGGGGTTGCAGTGAGCTGGGATCACGCCACTACACTCCAGCCTGGGCGACAGAGCATGACTACATCTCAAAAAAACGAAACCAAACAAAACAACAAAACAGTGGGAAACAAGCTGTGGTACCTTCATATGCTGGAACACTATACAGCAATAAAAAAGAGCGAACCATTGCCACATCCAATAACATGGACGAACTAGCCAGATATTGAGTGAAAGGGGCCGGACTTCAAGAAGAGACAAAATGAACAGATATCACAAGAGTAATTAGCTCCAGACGGTACCAAGTGAAAAGAGGCGACTTCTGGGGTGATGGCAATGCTCTACCTTTTGACCCATGTAGTGGCTGCACAGTTGCATATGCTGTGCACTGAAGATCTCCACACTTGTGGCACTTGGCTGTCAAATGTAACTTGGCTGAAAGTGTGATTAGAATGTAACCACGAAAAGTGTAGGGGTCTTCAAGGGCCACGGCTCAGACCCTAATCAGAGGCAGAGTCCAGCTGAGGCAGCCCCCCAGATCTCCTATAATGTGATGGCTTAAAAAATACACTTGTCCAGGCACAGTGGCTCACACCTGTAATCCCAGCATTTTGGGAGGCTGAGGTGGGCGGATCACTTGAGGCCAGGAGTTCGAGACCAGCCTGGGCAACATGGTGAGACCCAGTCTCTACAATAAAGTTTTTAAAACATTAGCTGCCGGTGGCTCACACCTGTAATCTCAGCACTTTGGGAGTCTGAGGTGGGTAGACTGCTTGAGCTTAGGAGTTTGAGACCAGCCTGGGCAACATGTCAAAACTCTGTCTCTACAAAAAAATACAAAAAATTAGCCAGGCGTGGTGGCATATGCCTGTAGTTCCAGCTACTCGGGAGACTGAGGTGGGAGGATCGCTTGAGCCCAGGAGGTTGAGGATGCAGTGAGCTGAGATCTCACAACTGCACTCCAGCCTGGGCAACAGACCTTGTCTCAAAAGAAAAAAAAATTAGTTGCACATGGTGATGTGCGCCTATAGTTCCAACTACTCAGGTGGCTGAGGCAGGAGGATCACTGAGCCCAGGAGTTTAAGAGTGCAGTGAGCCATGATTACACCATTGCACTTCAGCCTGAGCAACAGAGTGAGACCCTGTCTCAAAAAAAAATTAAATGAATTAAAAAAATTTTGGCCAGGCACGGTGGCTCACGCCTGTAATCCCAACACTTTGGGAGGCCGAGGCAGGCGGATGCCAAGGCAGGCGGATCACAGGGTCAGGAGATCGAGACCATCCTGGTTAACACGGTGAAACCCCATCTCTACTAAAAAATACAAAAAATTAGCTGGGTGTGGTGGTGGGCACCTGTAGTCCCAGCTACTCGGGAGGCTGAGGCAGGAGAACGGTGTGAACCCAGGAGGCGGAGCTTGCAGTGAGCCGAGATCGCACCACTGCACTCCAGCCTGGGCGACGGAGGGAGACTTCATCTCAAAAAAAAAATTTAAAAAGAAATTTAAGAAAATTGGCCAGGTGCAATGGCTCACGCCTGTAACCCCAGCACTTTGAGAGGCGAGGCGAGCAGATCATGAGGTCCACAGATTGAGACCATCCTGGCTAACACAGTGAAATCCCATCTCTACTAAAAATACAAAAAAATTAGCCAGGCATGATGGCACACGCCTGTAATCCCAGCTACTGGGGAGGCTGAGGCAGCAGAATCGCTTGAACCCCGGAGGTGGAGGTTGCAGCGAGCTGAGATCACACCACTGCACTCCAACCTGGGCAACAGAACGAGTCTTCATTTCAAAACAAACAAACAAACAACAACAACAACAGAAATTAGCTAGGTATGCTGGCGGGTGCCTGTAATCCCAGCTACTCAGGAGGCTGAGGCAGGAGACTCACTTGAACCCCGGAGGTGGAGGTTGCAGTGACATCACACCACTGTACTCCAGCCTGGGCAAAAAGAGCGAAACTCTGTCTCAAAAAAAATTTTTTTTAAGAAAATAAAAACACACCTGCAAATTATTTAAGATTCTTTCTTTCAAGAGGTAGACCCTAATTCCCCTCTCCCAGAGTATGGCCAGACTCCCTGACTCGATTCGAACCCCTAGAATAAAGCGGGAGAGACTTTGAAGACGAGGTCACAAAGAAAGCACTGTGGCTCCATCAGGGTCTCCTCACGATCCCTCTCGTGGAGCACATGCTCTGGGGGAAAAGGCTTAGGACATCTATCCCGTAAGACACTCAAGCAGCCCCGTGGAGGGGCCCCAAAGTGAATCCTCCGACCCTAACCAAGTCCCACCCGGCTTCAGGGGAGGGAGACCCTGAGCTAGAACGACCCAGCTAAGCGTCTCTCCGTTTCCTGACCCTCAGAGACGGAGAGAATGCAGGTTTGCTGTTTTAAGCCACTAAGGTTCGGGTTATTTTGTTATACAGCAATAGATAACTATTGGGGGATCTCCACGTCTCACCCCCAAAAGCATCCCTCTAACTGTGGCTTCAGTAGCAGGCAGAGCCCCAGACCAGCCCCACTCCTTGGGCCTGGCCCACTGTCACTCAGTAACGGGTCTGGAATATCATTCCCCAGCTGGATGCCTCTTCTCAGGCCGCCACCCCTCAGATGCCTCCTCTCATCTCCCCAGCTCAGGCAGCCCCATCTGCTATGGTGTCTTCACAGCACTGAGGTTATCAGGCCTTGTCTCAGCTGCTAGAACACATTCTTTACAATAGATGCTTTGTAATCTTCACACCAGATTACAAGCTCCATGAGGGCAGGGCCCTTGCCTATCTGACACATGTCTGAGTCCCCAGCCTGGCCACCTAGAGGGCGTTCAATAAAAGTTTGGAACTTCATGATTGGAAATCCCAGCTCGAAGCAAAGAGGGAGACCCCAGCAACAGCACAGCAGCCCAGGAACCCCGGCCGGATTACGAGGTCTGGCTGCTTTCCTGGCACCAAGAGTAAGGTTGTGGGGGCTGGATCCTGGAAAGAGCGGCAGCCCTCAAACAGGTGCCTGGGCGCCTTGTCTCCCTAGCTCTTTGCCAACCTCCTGAGTTGTTCTTCTCTGAGAGAGTGCTCAGGGGAGCAGGGTCTCTGTGGGGACAGTGGCTCCCCCTCCAGGGGTCTCTGCCAGCCCCCAACTCCTCCTGCTGTTCTGGGGCAAGGGCCAAGTGCCTGACAAGTTCTCCATCGGCTCACAGACTAAAGTCGGTGCTTTCTGCCATCACTTTTAGATCCTGGCCCAGGCCACGCAATTCATGTCAGGAGTAAATCATTTTGATTTCCACTTCTGGTCCCGAGAAAGCCATCTTCTCTTCATTCCTAACACTGCAGGACTCTCCATCCTGCCCGCCCAGCCCAGAGGCCATACCTACTCCAGGATAGAGGCCCAGCCAATGAGCCACTTCCCTGCACTTTTGAAAGGGGATCCAGCTGGGAAGAATCACAGGATCCCAGGAGGCAGACCCTGAAAGGCAGGGACAGCTGGGTGCCCAGCAGAGCTATTTGGGGCTCAGTAGCAGCAGCTTGGGTTCTCTCCCTTCCCAGGCCCCCGGACTCATGCCCACTCCAGGAGCAAGAGGAAGTGGTGTGATTCTTGGGGGGTGTCATCAGTTGTCACAAGCACAAGACCCCACCCCTGCCCTGACCTGCTCCTCTAACCTCTGTTCCTGGCATGAGCAAACTGCTAACAAGTGGCCAGAGGCCAGCGAGAAGGGGAAAAGGGCACCATACCACGTGCCCAGAAAGGCATCAGAGTGCGGGCTTGGGGTGGGGTGGAGGCAGGACAGGCCAGCCCAGGGAGGTCACTCTGTGGGGTTACATGCCCCACCAGGTGGGACGCCAGCCCCGGAGCTGTTCCCTCAGCTCATTCCCGAGCACTTGAGAACCACACTGTGCAAAGTTTGGAGAGTCCGGGATCATAACCTCCACTTTGCCACCAGCTCCCTGAGTGACCTTGGGGAAACCAGCTGCAGCACTCGGCCTCAGTTTTCCTCCTGCACAGGGGAGGAAGATGGTAGGTCCTGCACAATCCCTGGGGTGCCCTGTGACCCATTCCAGTGGGGTAAGGAAGGTCGCCTTCCTCACGCTGCCCCCTGCATGGACACTTGGACCTGGTCTGGAGTGAATTGTTCTGTGGGGCTGGGAACACACAGGGGGCGGGGGTGGCTGTGAATGGGGAGGAGGGGTCCGTTCCAGGGCAGATGAGGCCTCAACTTCCCCGGGTCTCTCGGGTGGAAGGGGCTGCTCGCTTGATGGGGGCTGCCCAGCCGGGAAGCCCCACGTGAGGCCGCCCTCTCCCTCGCGCCCCCTCGTGCTTACACTTACATTTCGCCTCCTTCCAGTCGGTGGAGGTGCTCAGGTCCACCTTCGCCGCCATGGCCAGGGGGGCCCAAGTGCGCACCCCGGCTGTCCGCCCCACCGCCGCCGCCCCCCACGCCCCAACTCCCGCCGAGGTCCGGGCGCTGCGGCCGAACACGCCCAGGAACGCTGGGGGACAGCACGTGCTGCTGCGGGTCCGCGTGGCACCCGCCAAGTGGCCGGGCCGGGGGCGCGGGGGGACCAGCAGCTGCCCCGCCGCGCGCAGCTGTACCAGGCGGCCGGACAGTCGGCTCTGAAGAGACATGAGCGGGCGGCGCGGGACGGCTCTCCGCCCACTTGGACTCTATTTACGGCGCTCGGGAGTGTCTCTCCCTTATTTACTCTGGGACCGGGTGGCGACTGCCAGCCAGCGGCGACCTGCTCGGAGGCAGCGGGCGGCGCAGCCAGAAAACCCGGGAGCGCCGCTGGGCACCCTGGAACTTGTAGTCCGGGCCGCCGGATGGGCCCACGCACCCGTATACACACGTGCGCGCCCGCCCGGGCTCCCAGTGTCGCGGGTGGAGCCACGCCGGAGCCCCTCCCACTTCTCCAGTGGCCTCCAGGTGCCTCCACTCCGCGTGGCCTCGGCCGCCTCTAGCTTTCTAGTTGGCTGCGCCTCGGCTTTCCCCGCACCGGCTGCCCGCACGGGCTGAAGCCCTCGGACCTTCCACGCAGCCCCGGGCCCCTCTGCCGCTCTGCTCCGCAGGGAAGCAGGCGCTCCGGCCCCTGCGTACCGAGCTGGGAGAGCCTCGCGCGGCTTCCGCGGTGCCGAGCGTTTTGCAGCCTGGGCGACCCGGGCTTATCTCCCCAAGAGTCAGCAGGGCACCGCCTCCACACCCCAGCCCGCCCTCCTAGGGACAGTTGCGACGAACGGGTAAATCCGGTTTGGGGACTTCTCCCCAGAGGCTCTGCCTCCTAACAGCCCCGGGGCCAAGGCTCAGCTGGAGCAGAATCTAGGACAGCTGGGTGGAAATAGTGGAATTTGGAGGCAGGAAACTTGGGCTTCAAGTGGCGTTCAAGGGTGGAAGGATTGGGGTGATGTTTTCTTTTTACAAAAACCGGCTGGGCGCGGTGGCTTATGCCTGTAATCCCAGCACTTTGGGGAGGCTGAGGCGGGTGGATCACGAGGTCAGGAGTTCAAGGACAGCCTGGCCAACATGGCGAAACGCCATCTCTACTAAAAATACAAAAATTATCCAGGCGTGGTGGTGCATGCCTGTAATTCCAGCTACTCCGGAGGCTAAGGCAGGAGAATCACCTGAACTCGGAAGGTGGAGGTTGTGGTAAGCCAAGATGGCACCATTGCACTCCAGCCTGGGTGACAGAATGAGACTCTGTCTCAAAAAAAAAACACGAGGATGGATTTTTAAGTACTTTTATATATTTTTATGTACTATTAATATTACTTTATGATAAATATAATGGATACAGCCTGGGCTATTATAATATAATGAATCTAATAATAATGAATAGGTGCCTCACACCTGTAATCCCAGCACTTTGGGAGGCTGAGGCAAGAGGATTATCAGAGGCCAGGAGTTCAAGACCAGCCTGGGCAATACGGTGAGACCCCCTCATCTCTACCCGCCCCCACACAAAAAAATTACCCTGGTATGGTTGTAGACACTCACCTCTAGTCCCAGCTACTCTGGAGGCTGTGGCAGCAAACACTTGAGCCCAAGGGTTCAAGGCTGCAGAGAGCTATGATGGCACCACTGCACTACAGCCTGGACAACACAGTGAGACCCTATCTCAAAAGTAATAATAATAATATATTTTAATACCAGGGAGGAACGAGCCAGGGTTTCGGAGAAGGTTCTAGTACTAGTGTTGCTACCCTGGGGTACCCTAGCCTCTTGAGACTCAAGCTTCTTGAGCTGTCAGCTAGGAATAAGAGAGTCTGGCTGGTTGCAAACCTGCTCCTGTGCTCCAGGCCTCTGGCTCTGAGTGTGGCAATAACCCTGGATGGCCGTAGGAGGATCCCTGACCTGCCATGGATGCAGATGGAACCACTGGGATGGTAACATGGGCTCAGCCTTGGACTTCAGACATTAAATCCGCCCAAGACAGGATCAGCATAGACTTGCCAGCACCTGGGTAGGCAGTCATCAGTCCTGGGAGTGAGGGCAAAGGGGAGGCCAGAGGGCAGGAAGGAAGAGCCCACGGCCCCCAGCATTCCAGGACCACCAGCAAGGCCTGCACCCTCTCCTGAAAACATTAGCAAGACATGGTTCAGGATGTGAAGGGGTGGCCTGCCCCTCCACACCTGTGGGTGTTTCTCGTTAGATGGAACGAGAGACTTGAGAAAAGAAATGAGACACAGAGACAAAGTATAGAGAAAGAAAAAGTGGGCCCAGGGGACCTGCGCTCAGCTTACAGAGGACCCACGCCGGCACCGGTCTCTGAGTTCCCTTAGTATTTATTGATAATTATCTTTACCATCTTAAAGATAAGGGAGTGGCAGGACAATAGGATCATTGTAGGGAGGAAATCGGCAGTAAGACATATGAACAGAAATCTCTGTGACATGAATAAGTTTAAAGGAAAATGCTGTGCCTTGAGATGCATATGCAAACATCTCCATAAACCTTTTAGCAGCATTGTTTCAGCCTATCACATGGGGAGAAACCTTGGACAATACCTAGCTTTCCTAGGCAGAGGTCCCTGCGACCTTTGGCCATGTACGTGTCCCTGGGTAGTTGAAATTAAGAGAATGGTGATGACTTTTAACCAGCAAGCTGCCTTCAGGCACTTGTTTAACAAAGACACATCCTGCACAGCCCAAAATCCATTAAACGTTGAGTCACCGCAGCACATGTCTCTTGCAAGGACAAGATTGGGGGTAGGGTCACAGATTAACAGCATCTCAAATACAGAACAATATGGAGTCTCTTATGTCTACTTCTTTCTATATAGACACAGTAACAGGCTGATCTGTCTTTCTTTTTACCACAAGGATATAGGAGTCAGGCTCCAGGTCACCTCACCAGTTGTGGCCCCTCCAGTAACTCAGAGTAAAAGAAGGACCTTGCTGACTGCAACCAGGACAGCCGATACCTACATGCACGAAGTCCCAGCTATACTGAGCTAAGCCCTCTATGTCCATTCCCACTACCTCCATTAGCCCATTATATCCTCAGCTCTCACCACCTCCAGGCAGAGAGATGACTGGCCCAAGGTCAGAACAGTCAGGATCCCAGCCCCGACTTGGGTCCAGGTCTGTTTGGTTCCCATCTGTGGTCTGGAAAGTGGTTATGCAGATGTCACTGATTGGTGAAATGTGGCGTGTGGGTGTTGCAGTATATTACTTCTCCATTGTTGCTGTACCATTACCGCAAATTCACTGGCTTCAACGACACACATGTAGTATCTTAAAGTTCTTCAGGACAGAAGTATGATGTGGGTATCACTGGGCTAAAATCAAGGGGAACATGGGGCCATGTTCCTTTCTGGAAGCCCTAGCAGAGAGCCTGTATCATTGCCTTTTCTGATTCCCAGAGACTACTCACATTCCTTGACTTGAGACCTCTTCCTCCATGTTCAAAGCCAGCGCGGTTGCATCTGAGCATTCTTCTGTAGTGGCATTTCCCTCTGATACTCTCCTTCTGCCTTTCTCTTCCATCTTCAGGGACCCTTGTGATTACATGGAGCCCACCTAGACAATCGGTGTCAATTTCTCTACTTAGCTGATTTGCAACCTTCATTCCCCTTTGCCATGAAATGTAACATATTTACAGGCTCTAGGATTTAGGATATGGAATCTTTTTTTTTTTTTTTTTTTTTTTTTTTTTTTTTTTTTTTTTTTTTTCTGAGACAGAGTCTCAAGCTGTTGCCCAGGCTGGAGTGCAGTGGCGCGATCTCGGCTCACTGCAAGCTCCGCCTCCTGGGTTCAGGCCATTCTCCTGCCTCAGCCTCCTGAGTAGCTGGGACTACAGGCGCCCGCGACCGCGCCCGGCTAATTTTTTGTATTTTTTTTAGTAGAGACGGGGTTTCACTGTGGTCTCGATCTCCTGACCTTGTGATCCGCCCGCCTCGGCCTCCCAAAGTGCTGGGATTACAGGCTTGAGCCACCGCGCCCGGCCAGGATATGGAATCTTTAGAGAGACATTATTCTGCCCTGTGCAACCTTCCTGGCAATGTCTAGAGAGGATGATGAGGTAGAGGCAGGGGCCCCAGTCATAAGAAAGTCTTGGTGCTCAGGCCGGGTGCAGTGGCTCACGCCTGTAATCCCAGCACTTTAGGAGGCTGAGGCGGGTAGAACAACTGAAGTCAGGAGTTCGAGACCAGCCTGGCCAACAAAGCCAAACCCTGTCTCTACTAAAAATACAAAACAAAACAAAAAAAATTAGTTGGGCATGATGGCACGCATCTGTAGTCCCAGCTACTCAGGAGGCTGAGGCAGGAGAATTGCTTGAACCTGAGAGGCAGAGGTTGCAGTGAGCTGAGATTGTGCCACTGCACTCCAGCCTGGGTGACAGAGTGAGACTCCCTCTCAAAAAAAAAAAATAAGGCAGGTGTAGTGGGTCACACCTGCAGTCCCAATTACTTGGGAAACTGAAACAAGAAGATCACTCGAGGCCAGGAGCTGGAGGTCAGCCTGGGCAACATAGTGAGACCTTGTCTCTAAATATAAATAAATAAATAACATGTACTTATTTATTTATTTATTTAGAGAGGGAGTCTGGCTCTGTCACCCAGGCTGGAGTGCAGTGGCATGATCTCGGCTCACTGCAACCTCTTTCCCCCAGGTTCAAGGAGCAGCCTCCCAAGTATCTGGGATTACAGGCATGTGCCACCATGCCCCGCTAAATTTTATATTTTTAGTAGAGAAGGTTTTACTATATTGGTCACACTGGTCTCGAGCTCCTGACCTCAGATGATTCACCCACCTCGGCCTCCCAAAGTGCTGGGATTACAGGCGTGAGCCACCGTGCCCAGCCAACAAACATGTATTTTAAAAAAACATTTATAATATCATGTTATTCACCTGCTTAGACATCTCCAAAACCCGTGTCCTATACTGCCAGGCTACTGAAGCACCCTGGACACCCACTGTGTACCAGTGCTACTGTTTCTTTTTCCTGAGATTCAGCTCTGTGATAGTGAAGGTCCCGGCTAACACCTCTCCGTGGTCTACTGGAGGCTTGGGTCACATGCACAAGTGGTCGTGGGCAGGCAGCAGGATTCTGAACATTGGTGAGGGAGGATATCTTCATAGAATTTGAGCTGGATCTTTTGGAAAAAGTAAAGTTTTGCCAGGTATGGAAGGTGTGTATGTGTTGGGGGCGTTCCAGGCAGAGGGACCCATAGAAGCAGAGGTGTGGAAGTCTGTGGAATGCTGAATCTTCCACTGGGGCTGTGGCATAGGGCATTGTCAGTTGAGGATTTTTAATGTTGGAGAGGGGGTTTTGTGCAAAGAAAAGCTACCTACTGCTGCTTGTGTTTAAATTAATACTGTATTTATTAAACATATAAATTTTAAAAACTAGTTTTTCTTAAACATCCAAGAGCAATTCATAAATCTAGTTTTCTATGTATAAGCCTACTAATTATTTTTATAAAAGAACAATTATGTTCACTTTGATGAATATTTAATTAACTCATAAGTTCAACAGATTAAATTCTTCTAAAAATGAATGCCAATTACAAACTTAGGTAATTAAATCCTCTAATAGATTTTAAACTATATTTTACAGAGTTAAAGTAGCTGATCCTCTCAAACACCTCAAATTCCCAACAGAAGAGACTTACAAGGTTGTTGCTGTTTTTTTTTTCTTCTCATTTAAGCACCTCTTTTTGTTTTTCCTTTTTTCAGGGACAGCGTCTACAGGGTCTGGAGCAATCATGGCTCACCGCAGCTTTGACCTCCTGGGCTCAAGCGATCCTCCACCCTCAGCCTCCTGAGCAGCTAGGACTATAGGTGTGTGTCACCACACCCAGTTAATTTTTCTTTTTTTTTTTTTAGAGATGGGGTCTCACTGTGTTGCCCAGGCTGGTCTCAAACTCCTGGGCTCAAGCATTCTTCCTGCTTCAGCCTTCCAAGGTGTTAGGGTTACAGGTATGAGTCACTGTGCCCAGCCAAGCAACTCTTATATGCTAATAAACTTATAAATGTGGCAAATCAGTTATCTTAAATATTCAATACTATTTCTGAACTTAAATCCTCTTAGACTGTCACGGTTATCTACTGCTTTGTAATGAGTCACTGAAAATTTACTGGCTTAAAATAACAGCAGTTCTAAGTCAGCAGTTTGGGCTAAGCTGGCCGGTTCATCTGCTGGTGTCACTGGGTCACTCCTTTACCTGCAGCTGTAGTCATCTGACAACCCATCTGGGGTTGGGGGTCCAAGGTGGTCTCACTCACATAACTGATGGTTGGTGCTGGCTGTCAGCTGAGGCCCCTTGGCTCTGCTCCACATGGTCTCACCTTTCAAAGGTGGCAAAGCCATCCAGAGGAGCAGATACACTATCACAGCAGGGCTGACGTTGCAGTGACATGCAGGACCACAGTACAGTTCGGGTTTTCCTGCTACTGGTCTGAGATTTAAGACCAGAGCAGGACCCAGGAGAATTCTACCATATCTAAAGGGATCCCCAGTCCACTTCTCTCCTCTGGGACTTAATGACAAAGTCTGATGCATCACTGTTTCCTGAGAGTCTTTCAAGTGGCAGCTCTCCCCCATTTTTACCCTGCCATCTTCCTATTTTTTATTGCCTCATTTGGGTAGATAAGCGTCCATCCCTCCAGCTCTCAGGTCCTCCTGTCGTCTTCTCTGTCTGATGACAATTTTGCATTCCACCCTCATCCAGGTTGTACTACTCTCTTCATATTTCACTTTTTTTTTTTTTTTTTTTTTTTTTTTTGAGACGGAGTCTCGCTCTGTCACCCAGGCTGGAGTGCAGTGGCCGGATCTCAGCTCACTGCAAGCTCCGCCTCCCGGGTTCACGCCATTCTCCTGCCTCAGCCTCCCGAGTAGCTGGGACTACAGGCGCCCGCCACCTCGCCCGGCTAAGTTTTTGTATTTTTAGTAGAGACGGGGTTTCACTGTGTTAGCCAGGATGGTCTCGATCTCCTGACCTCGTGATCCGCCCATCTCGGCCTCCCAAAGTGCTGGGATTACAGGCTTGAGCCACCGCGCCCGGCCCCATATTTCACTTTATTACTTGCCTATGTTTCATTTTACTATCCGTTTCATTGGCCATATTGTATAGTCATTATGTTGAGAGGTATATAAGGGAAGGATGGATTACAAGGTATTAAATGTCCAGAGCTTGTAGCTATAAACCAGGAGCCTGGAAAACAGAAGATGCCCCTCCACCTTTTTTTTTTTTTTTGAGATGGAGTCTCACTCTGTTGGCCAGGCTGGAGTGCAGTGGTGCGATCCTGGTCCACTGCAACCTCCACCTCCCATGTTCAAGCAATTCTCCTGCCTTAGCCTCCTGAGTAGCTGGGATTACAGGCGCCCACCACCACGCCTGGCTAACTTTTGTATTTTTGTAGAGATGAGGTTTCGCAACATTGGCCAGGCTGTTCTCAACTCCTGACCTCAGGTGATCCACCCACATCGCCCTCCCAAAGTGTTGGGATTACAAGGGAGAGCCACCATGCCCAGCCTCTACCTGATGTTTGGCAGAATGGTCTGAAGACCATGTCAGCTGTCTGGGAAAGGCCTCAGTGATCTCGAGAGGGCCAAACAGATAACTGAACTGAATGTTCTTATCCCACGCCACCCTCCCCAGGGGAACGGCCTTAGTGGGCCAGGGGGTTTCATCCTTGGAGCCGGCAGAGGGAGGGCTTCACCTGCCCCTACTCTGACTTCAGAGAAGGCCCAGCAAGGAGGTAGATGCTTTAGGGACATTTGTATTGAAGTGCACAAAATCCTTTAAAAGTAATGGTTATTGTAATAAATTTTAACAACATAGAAATAAAGTAAAAAGTAAAAGCCAGCAGGGTGCTGTGGCTGAGGCTTGGAATCACAGTACTTTGGGAGGCCAGGGCAGGAGGATTCATTAAGCCTGGAAGTTCGAGACCAGCCTAGAAAACATAGTAGGACCCTGACTCCACAAAAAATAAAAAAATTGGCCGGGCGCAGTGGCTCACGCCTGTAATCCCAGCACTTTGGGGAGCTGAGGCAAGCGGATCATCTGAGGTCGGGAGATCAAGACCAGCCTGACCAACATGGAGAAACCCCGTCTCTACTAAAAATACAAAATTAGCCGGGCGTGGTGGCGCATGCCTGTAATCCCAGCTACTTGGGAGGCTGAGGCAGGAGAATCGCTTGAACCCAGAAGGCAGAGGTTGTGGTGAGCCGAGATCACGCACTCTAGCCTGGGCAAAAAGAGTTAAACTCTGTCTAAAAAAAATAAAAGTAAAAATATTAGCTGGGCGTGCTGGTGCACCTGTAGCCCCAGCTAATCTGGAGGCTGAGGCTGGAGAATCACTTGAACCCAGGAGTTCAAGACTAGCCTGGGCAACATAGCGAGACCCCATTTCTACCAAAAGAAAAAAAGTGAAAGCCCTTGTTATGGGCTGAATGGTGTCTGCCTGAATTCTTATGTTGAAGCCCTAACCCCCAGTAGCTCAGAATGTGACTGTATTTGCATACAGGGCCTTTAAATGGGTAATTAAGGCTGGGTGTGGTGGCTCACACCTATAATCCCAGCACTTTGGGGGACCGAGGCAGGTGTATCACCTGAGGTCAGGAGTTTGAGGCCAGCCTGACCAACATGAAGAAACCCCGTCTCTACTAAACAATACAAAAATTAGCTTGGCATGGTGGCATGCGCCTATAACCCAGCTACTTGGGAGGCTGAGGCTGGAGAATCACTTGAACCTGGGAGACAGAGGTTGCAGTGAGCTGAGATCGTGCCACTGCACTCAAGCCTGGGTGACAGAGCGAGACTCTGTCTCAAAAAAAAAAAAAAAAAAAAAAGAGGTAATTAACTTAAAATCAGGCCATTAGGATGAGCCCTACTCCAGTCTGACTGGTGTCCTTTTTTTTTTTTTTTTTTTTTTTGAGATAGAGTCTCGCTTTGTTGCCCAGACTGGAGTACAGTGGCATAATCTCAGCTCACTGCAACCTCCACCTCCCAGATTCAAGCAATTCTCCTGCCTCGGCCTCCCGAGTGACTGGGACTACAGGCACCTGCCACCATGCCCAGCTAATTTTTGTATTTTTAGTAGAGACTGGATTTCACCATGTTGGCCAGGCTGGTCTCAAACTCCTGACCTCAAGTGATCCACCCGCCTCAATCTCCCAAAGTGCTGGGATTACAGGTCTGAGCCACCGCGACTGGCCTGACTGATATCCTTTTTTTTTTTTTTTTTTTTTTGAGACGGAGTCTTGCTCTGTTACCCAGGCTGGAGTGCAGTGGCCGGATCTCAGCTCACTGCAAGCTCCGCCTCCCGGGTTCACACCGTTCTCCTGCCTCAGCCTCCCGAGTAGCTGGGACTACAGGCGCCCGCCACCACGCCCGGCTAATTTTTGTATTTTTAGTAGAGACGGGGTTTCACTGTGTTAGCCAGGATGGTCTGGATCCGCCCACCTCGGCCTCCCAAAGTGCTGGCATTACAGGCGTGAGCCACCGCGCCCAGCCCTGATATCCTTTTAAGAGGAAAGTTGGGGGCTGGGCGCAGCGGCTCATGCCTGTAATCTCAGCACTTTGGGAGGCTGAAGCAGATGGACCACTTGAGGTCAGGAGTTCGAGACCAGCCTGGCCAATGTGGTGAAACCCCATCTCTATTAAAAATACAAAAATTGGCGGGGCGCGGTGGCTCAAGCCTGTAATCCCAGCACTTTGGGAGGCTGAGACGGGCAGATCACGAGGTCAGGAGATCGAGACCATCCTGGCTAACCCGGGGAAACCCCGTCTCTACTAAAAAATACAAAAAACTAGCCGGGCGAGGTGGCGGGCGCCTGTAGTCCCAGCTACTCGGGAGGCTGAGGCAGGAGAATGGCGTAAACCCGGGAGGCGGAGCTTGCAGTGAGCTGAGATCAGGCCACTGCACTCCAGCCTGGGTGACAGAGCGAGACTCCATCTCAAAAAAAATAAAATAAAATAAATTAAAAATATAAAATAAAATAAAATAAAAATATAAAAATTAGTCAGGCATGGTGGCACACACCTACAATCCCAGCTACTTGGGAGGCTGAGGCAGGGGAATCACTTGAATCCGGGAGGCGGAGGTTGCAGTGAGCTGAGATCACGCCACTGTACTCCAGTCTGAGCGGACTCGTTCAAAAAAAAAAAAAAAAAAAGGGCGGGGGGGGAAAGTTAGACAAACAAAGAGACACCAAGGATGCTGGAGTGCAGAGGAGGGACCACGTGAGGAGGCAGGAAGAAGGCGGCCATCTGCAAGCGATGGGAGAGGCCTCAGAGGAAACCACACCTGCTGATGCCTTGAACCTGGGCTTGCAGCCTCCAGAACTGTAAGAACATACATTTCTGTTGTTTAAGCCACCCCATCTGTGGCATTCTGTTATGACAGCCCCAGCAAACTATCACAGCACACCGCCTCCCTGTTCCCAGTCCACAGAGGTAATTCCTTTAGCCATTGGCTGCGTATCATAGATTTTTTCCATGCATGTATAATCATATGTAAAGAAACACACACATAATTTTATTTTTACAAAAATAGGATTCAGCCATACACACTGTTCCACAACTACTATGCTTTTTTTTTTTTTTTTTACTCACAACACTTTTGACACCAAATGTGTGGTTTTTTTTTTCCACATCGACCAACTCTCCAACACCATCTGGGTATCCTACAATTGAATCCATTCTGATACTATCAACCTGGAGTTGGCATCAGCTCCCACATGTTAAGGGCCCAGTCCCACAAGACTGCCCCCAATTCAAACTCCAAGAGCAAGTCCTGGGCCCCCCATACTTCTGACATATGAATTGGGGTTTCCACGACCCCCTCATCAGGTTCAATAATTTGCTAGAAACAGCTCACAGGACTCAGGAAAACAGTTTACTTACTTTTTTTTTTTTTTGAGACAGTGTGTCTCTGTCTGGAGTACAATGGTGCTCGCTGTAGCCTCGAACTCCTGGGCTCAAGCGATCCTCCACCCTCAGTCTCCTGAGTAGCTGGGACTACAGGCATGTGCCACTGCACCCAGCCTTACTTACTATTTTCGGTTTATCATAAAGGATACAAGTTCAGGAACAGCCAGATAGAAGAGATGCATAGGGCAAGGTGTGGAGGGCAGGATGCGGAGTCTCCAAGTCCTCTCTGATCACGCCACCCTCCCAGCATCTCCGTGTGTTCTTCTCTGAACCCTGTAATTTAGGTTTTTGTTTGTTTTTGTTTTGAGATGGAGTTTTGCTCTGTCACCCAGGCTGGAGTGCTGTGGTGCAATCTTGGCTCACTGCAACCTCTGCCTCCCACCCAGGTCAAGTGATTCTCCTGTCTCAGCCTCCTGAGCAGCTGGGGCTACAGGCGTGCACCACCACACCTGGCTCGTTTTTGTCTTTTTAGTAGAGACGGGGTTTCACCGTGTTGGCCAGGCTGGTCTTGAACTCCTAACCTCAGGTGATCCACCCACCTCAGCCTCCTAAAGTGCTGGGATTACAGGCATGAGCTACTATACCCGGCTTCATTTAGGAGTGTTATGGCGGCTTCATTATACAGGTATAATTGTTTAATTCTTGACCACTGGTGATTAACTCAATGTCCGCCCCATCTCCCCTCCCCAGGGTTTGAACCCTCTAATCACTTGCTGGGTTCCCCTTCCCCTGGCTACACCCTCGTGCACCAAGAGTCACCTCATTAGCATAAATTTATGGTTGAAAGGGGCTCATTATGAGTAACAAAAGATGCTCCTCTCCCACCATAACTCAGGAAATTACAAGTGTTTCAGGAGCTCTGTGCCAGGAACTGGAAGTGAAACCCAAATATGCATACTTATTATATTCACAATATCACAACCGCTAACTTTTTTCATTCTACCATATGTCACTGCCATGTCAATATCTACCCAAATGTTGTTTCTTCACACTTGCCAATATCTCATCCTATGGAGGCAGCATCATGTTTTCCAGTGTCCTCCATGGTTGGACTCAGGTGGTTTCCAGTCCTTTTGCTGTCCCAGACGGTGCTGCGTGAGACATCCTGTGCCACCAGGGTGGGGTCACCTGTGGGAGACATTCCTAAGAGCGGAATCACTTTTGTGTTTTCAATAGCTATTGCTAAGCGTACCTTCCTATAGGCGGTGTAGAAGAGGCACGCATCCCACCCACGCCCACACAGGCACACTCTCTGCAACTTGGTATTTCTCAACAGAGGTACTGGAAAGGAGACAGTGGGGTTGGGCCATTTGTATCTGAGGGGCTACAACAATTTGGCTCAGAAAAGAATAAGCAGAATAGGGAGTGAGGAAGCCCAGAGGGAAGGTCCAAGGGACCTTTTGGGAGAGGCTGAGGGACCCCCAGGGCAGCAGAGGGTGACCAGTTCCATTGGCTCATTTGACAAACACTAAGCACTGACAATGCCCCAGGTTCTGTGCTGGGATCCAGCACATAGTAGTGAAGGAAACTTCTTCCTCATGGGAAGAAGTCAACATACAGGAGCCATCTCAGAGAGTGCTTGGATCAGCGGGCCGGGGTGGCTGGGGAGGAGCAGATGGAACAAGCACTAGCATGACACTGGCTCATGAGAATTCCCGAGAATTTCTGCCATACGTGGTGAGGGGGAAAGTGCAGGAAAAAACCCTTGGGTGTGACTGTTCTAGTTATCTACTGCTGTAGAACAAACTACCTTAAGCTACCTTGCTTTTCTGGCTGGGAACAACAGCCATTTAATTCCATCTCAAGATTTTGTGGGTCAGGGCTCAGCTAGGTGATTCTTCTGCTCCATGTGGCCTCGACTAGGGTCACTCAGTGGGATTCGCTGGAGACTGGGCTGGGCTAGAGGGCCCAAGACAGCTTCCTTCATGTTACCTGGAGCCCATGCTGTGCTGCAGAACAGTTGGCTTGCCACAAGGCTAGCGTAGGCTTCCCCATACCATGGTGGCCTCAGGGCACTCAGACTTCTTCGGTGGCAGCACAGGCTCCAAGACAGTGTGTCCCAAGAAACAGGAAGTGGAAGCCACCAGTTTTACAAGGCTTGGAAACTGCAAGATGTTATTTCTATTGTATTCTACTAGTCAGCGTAGTCCCAACTCCATGGAATTCAAGGGGAGGGGACACAGACCTCCCACTTTGCAATGAGGGGTGTCAACGAATATATAGCGTCTTTCGTCTCCCTCAGTGACCCCTGACATCCTTCTCTTGCCATTGGGTGTCATATTATGTGCTGTGGTCAATTGCAATCTGCCTGCCACATTAGCAGGCAGGTTTCACCCTCGAACCTCAACCTCAGGTGTGCAAGAACTGCTGTGTTTATATTAATATTTCTCTTCCTCAGCTCTATTGACATTTGGAACCAAATAATTGTGATAGCTATTCTATGCCTTGTAGGGTATTTAGCAGCATCCCTGGCCACTACAGCATGTGCACACATACACACACACACACACACACACACTCAGTTATGACAACCCAAAATGTCTCCAGACATTGCTGAATGACAGCTGGGGACACCCTGGCTGAAAACCATTGCCTCGGCCAGGCGCGGGTGGCTCATGCCTGTAATCTCAGCACTTTGGGAGGCCGAGGCGAGTGGATCACCTGAGGTCAGGAGTTCGAGACCAGCCTGACCAACATGACAATAACCCATCTCTACTAAAAATGCAAAAATTAGCCAGGTGTGGTGGCACACACCTGTAATCCCAGCTACTTGGGAGGCTGAGGCAGAAAAATTACTTGAACCTGGGAGGCAGAGGTTGCAGAGAGCTGAGATCACGCCACCTCACTCCAGCCTGGGTGACAGAACGACACTCTGTCTCAAAAAAAAAGAAAAGAAAAAAAAGAAAACCATTCCCTTGGGATCACCTTGTTCTGACTCTAAGCCTCCATCCTACTCAGCTGTGAGGAACTCATCCCCTTCCCAGTTCACATGGTCCTTAACCCTTGGGAAGGGCTCTGGTCCACCGTGTGCCGTGGCTGCCGTTGAGTTGGCCTCACCTCAGCAGTCTCCCTGAAATACGGAGTCTCTCCTCCTGTCCCCCAACCCAACCCCACATCTTGCAGAGGCTATATATGGCCTGGGTGCCCAGGCTGGGGGGGCCCCTTGCAGGGTATCTTAGCACACTGTCACCTCTGACTCTGGCCATCTACCAGTACAAGGAGCAACAGTCCTTCCCCCAACACCCTGAGGGGGTCCCGGGAGTCTGCATCCAACTGATGGAATTAGCTGATGGACTGGATGTGGGCTGTGAAAGAGACGAGTCAAGACGAGTCAGCCTGAGCCACTGGAAGAATAATGATGCCACTGGCAAGAGGAAGTCAAGGGCAGGCAGGGTTGAGAGGGATATTGGGAGTTATGATTTGAGCACCCGGGGAAGTCTGTCAGCCATCCAGACGAAGATGTCAAGATGGCAGCTGGATAGATAAGTCTGGGACTGGGGGGTGAGATCTGTGCTGAGGACAGAATTATGGGAGTCATCTGAGATGGCATTTATAGCCACAAGACTGGCTGGATCTCCCAGGGGAGCGGGGTGTGGATAGCAAGGCCCAGGACTCGGCTCCAGGGTTCTCTGATTAATAATTATTAGATAATAATTATCATTTTATTCCTTGAAGCATCTGGCACAGTGCCTGGCTCTATACAAGTCCTCGGAATTGGACAGAACTCTACAGTACTTTACTTTCCCCACTAATGAGGATGCCAATTCTATCTTAGCAGAAGAGCTGTAAGTTAGGATCACTCAGTTAAGTAGGAAATTAAGAGAGTTCTTAGGAGTTTCAAACAAAAATTCCAGGTCTACAGAGCCCAAATTCTGAGCTGCAGCCCTTCCCTAATCCCTACTCCCCACCTATGCTGAGATCCAGCTCTCCTAGTTTTTCTGATATTGAGAAAACTTTAAAGTTGGGAATTTGCTCTGCTGAGACTCAGTCACCCTCATTTTACCTTCAGTGCCATTGCTGCAGGAACTACGGCCTTCAGGTTGACTCCAGATACAGCCTCGCCATGCCTCTCCCTACCCTTGACTGCAGCAGCACTGAAATAGCAGCATGAATCACTCTGGGACGTCACGTGATGCACAGGCCAGACGCGGCTGTGGTTGGTCCTCCTGTGTTCCAGGGACCTGGGAGGAGGGCCCTGGCCAGCCAGAGTGGCTGCCTCCCTGTCCTCCTCTGAGTCTACCAAGAGGCTTGGAGAAAACTGAGTTGGTGGAAGTTATAAGAGCTAACACTTCTGGGTATTCAGAGGTGGCTTTACTGTAACACTAAAGCAGCTTAAACATCGGGGACCCCATTCGTGCTCCTTCTAAAGCCACACACTTCATTTTTTGTGTGTTTCTTCTCTCAAAGCGAGCTCTCAAATTGTCATAAGCTTCAGGTCTGACAAGACTCAAGTCCAACCCGGGAGGATTATATTGTTCACTCTGCATAGTAACCTTGGGAAGTCAAGGGCACTTCATCCTCCCCACCTTACAGTCAAGGACACTTAGAGCACAAAAAAGACTTCCTTAGATTTCTTTAAAATTCTGGGCCAGGGCCAGGCGTGGTGGCTCACACCTGTGTAATCCCAGCACTTTGGCAGGCGGGGGCAGGTGGATCACTAGAGGTAATGAGTTTGAGACCAGCCTGGCCAACATGGTAAAACACCATCTCTACTAAAAATACAAAAAAAAAAAAAAAAAAAAAAAAATTAGCTGGGCGTGGTAGTGGGCACCTACAATCCCAGCTACTAAGGAGGCTGAGGCAGAATCGCGTGAACCCGGGAGCCAGAGGTTGCAGTGAGCCAAGATCGTGCTACTGCACTCCAGCCTGGACTACAGAGTGAGACTCCATCCCCCACCCCCTCAAAAAAGATAAAGAGAATTCTGGGCCGGGCATGGTGGCTCACACCTGTAATCCCAGCACTTTGGGAGGCTGAGGCAGGTGGATAATGAGGCCAGCAGTTCAAGACCAGCCTAGCCAAGATGGTGAAACCATCTCTACTAAAAACACAAAAATTAGCCGGGCATGGTGGTGGGTGCCTGCAATCCCAGCTACTCTGGAGGCTGAGGCAAAGAATTGCTTGGACCCAGGAGGCAGAGCTTGCAGTGAGCCGAGATCGCGCCGCTGCACTCCAGCCTGGGTGACAGAGCGAGATTCCCTCTCAAAAAAAAAAAAAAAAAAAAATTCTGAATTTGCCCTGGCCTCAGGACCTTTGCATCCTCTGTTGCCTGTGTGGTCCCCTGTGCCCCCTAAGCTTCTCCTCGATCCATCTCTGACAGGCCTTCACTAACCACTCACCTCTGGGAGTGCTTTCCTTCCCTGCCACCCAGGTCATCTCTCTGTGCCTTGACTTTTGTGTTCTCTGTAGCACTCACTCTTGAGAATTATCATTTGTGCACTGATTTTGATTTAATAAATCCATGTAGTTCTTATTCCGTAGCCAGGCACTGTTTTTTTTTCTTTGGAGACAGAGTCTTGCTCTGTTGCCCAGACTGGAGTGCAGTGGCATAATCTTGGCTCACAGCAACCTCCGCTTCCCGGGTTGAAGTGGTTCTCCTGCCTCAGCCCGCCGAGTAGCTGGGACTACAGGAGTGCACCACCACACCTGGTTAGTTTTTGTATTTTTAGCAGAGATGAGGTTTCTCCATGTTGGCCAGGGTGGTCTCGAACTCCTGACCTCAGGCGATCCCCAGGCCCTCTTCTTGACAAGTTCTAAGTGCTTTATGAATATCAAATCATGTAATCCTCACAACCACTATGATGTCAACACTTTTTAATCCCCATTTGAAGATGGAGGCAACTGAAGTACAGACAGGTTGTGCAAATTGCTTAACATCACACAGCTGAGAGTTTAGGTATCATCTTTCAGTAGAAAAGGTCCCTGTGAGCAGAAGCTTCATCTGGGGCTGCCCTGGTCACTGCTACAGACCTGCACCCAGAGCAGTGCAACACACTCTAAAAAAAGGTGTGTGGGAAATGGGACCTGGCCATTCGGAGAGAAGCAGCTGGGGAGAAGATGGAAGGCTTGGAAAGGCCACTGCTGGTCAGGTGGGCATGTGTGGTGGCCTGGAGACAGTGCCAAGAAGAAATGAAAGGTGTCCTTGACAGATTGGATGTAGATGAATAAGAGAGGAGGCCAAGGCCTCAGAGGAACCCTTGACCCCGCTTTCCTTCATGCTCCCTCCAAAATGCATCCAGAATCCTATTCCTGTCCCCTCCTCTGCTCTCATCCTGGCTCCCTGGGATTACTGCCCCAGCCTCCTGAGAGGTAACCCTGCTCTCACTCTCCCCTCTTCCTCCACACAGCAGCCAGAGGGATCCTGAGAAAACTTAAGATCATGACACTCCTCTGCTCAAAACCTGCCAATGTGTTCGGGAGTGGCAATGGCCTCTAACCCTGCAGGACCTGGCCCCTACTTCCTCTCGGCAGCTGTGCCTCCTGCCATCCTGGCTACACCGAGGCAGCTCCCATCCCAGGGCCTTTGCACTGGCTGTTCCATGGGCCTGCAAAGTTCTCCCCCACATTTCCAAGGATCTCACTCCCTTGCTTTCTTTAAGTCTTTTCTCACCATGCCTCACTATTGAAAATGCAAAACCGCAGGGCGAAGTGCTGGGTCTGTAAACCCAGCACTTTGGGAGGCCGAGGCGGGCGGATCACTTGAGGTCAGGAGTCTGAGACCAGCCTGGTCAACATGGGGAAACCCCGTCTCTACTAAAAATTAAAAAATTAGCCGGGCGTGGTAGCGCACACATGTAATCCTAGCTACTTGGGAGACTGAGGCAGGATAATTGCTTGAACCGGGGAGGCAGAGGTTGCAGGGAGCCGAGATCGCCCCACTGCACTCTAGCCTGAGAGACAGAGCAGGAGTTTAAGACTAGCCTGGACAACACGAAGAAATCCGTCTATACAAAAAAATAGAAAAATTAGCTAGGCGTAGTGGTGCCTGCCTGTAACCCCAGGTACTTGAGAGGCTGAGGTGGGAGGATGGCTTGAGCTCAGGAGGTCCAGGCTGCAGGGAGCTGTGATGGCGCCACTGCACTTCAGCCTGGAGACAGTGAGACTCAACTCCGTCTCAAAAAAAAAAAAAAAAAAAAAAAAAAAAAAAAAAAAAAAGCAGGCGGTTGGATTACACAGGCCCTGAACCCCACCCTAAAGCCTTCAGCACTTTCAAGTGAGGGATTACCAGGTTTGCAGGTCTGCAGCAACTTGGCTGCAGTGTCCAAAATGGGTGGGGCAGGTGGGATTAAAGATGAGGCTGTGGAGACAAGCTATTGGCAGAGAGGACACACTTTAAACCCTGGGAAGATGGCATTACCCAGAGAGGGGGAAGGATGAGGACACTGCAGAGCCCAAGACCATTGCCAGACCCGAGTCATGCGGGTCCTTTGTTCCAGGAACCACAGCTGACTCTAGAAGCAATAGCAGCATTTTCACTCCGCAGGTGCATCTCTTCCACGCTTTGGGGTGCCTGCCCTGACTCTGACTTCTGGGGCTGGGATTTAAGGCTCTACCAGGCCACAGCTAGCCAGCTCATAGGCGGTTAACTACCTGATTCAGCTCTTCGTCTCTTTCACTCCTTTACATCGGACTCACGAGGGCTGGGGGACAGCTCCCTTTCGCTAAGTACTTTCCGCGTGCTAAACACCGCACGAATTCCCCTCGGCCCTACAAGGACCAAACGACTCAGAGAGGGTGTGCGGTTCCACTGAGGACGCCCAGCAGAACAGCCGCACCCGCCGCGATGAGATCCCCTGCCTGTCCAGCCCAAGCCCAAGCGCCCTCGCGGTCACGTGGCATTTCTGGAACCTAACAGCCAGAATGCAGGAGGGCCAGGCCGAGGCCGCAGCGCTGAACAACGCGCGCAACTGGCGGTCGAGGACCACGCAGCGCGACCGGCTAGGACCTCCATCTCGATGCGTGGGCGAAAGGCTGGGGCCCTGTGCCGCTGGCGATCCCGGGGACCGCCTGGAACTCGCGGCACTAGGGATCCAGATGGAAAGTAACCCACAGGCACCGCAGCCGCCGGAGACACGGCTACAGTACCGGACTACGGCCGGGACTGCCATATGCCACGGGCGGGGCGAAACCCGGCCTTTTGAAAGGCAGCGATTTAAACCAATCAGCGCAAAGGGTTGGCAACCCTCCGCCCAATTGGAATCGCTCTCATTCTGAAGGCGGTTCCGACTTGGAGTCCGGCAGCCCAATGGGAGAGGTGGAAATTTCCAGAACGAACGGAACCAATGGGCGCGGCCAGCGCGGCTACGATTGGCAGAGCAAAAGACCAATCTGTGTCGCAGAAGTCCGCTCCTCCCTCCGTTCGTGCAGCCTGAGATGGGTGGGTTTATAGAGCGGCGTCCAATCCTGAGGTGCGGGGGAGGCAGGGTTGAGGGAATCACTCCCCGCTGTCCAATGAGAGGGAAGTGGAGATGATGGGCTGGACCTCAAGCCAGTAGTAGAACAGCACAGAGAGCCCCCTAGAAGTACTCGACCAGTGAGCAGGCGAGGAAGGGGCGGGAGCCGGGGTCCCGGCAGCTTCTAGTAGGTTCCAGAAGGCGGCGCGTGCGGTTGGGATCGCGGAGCGGACGGATTCGATTCAACGGGGTTCCGGGCCGCGCTGCGCTATGGAGCAGGTGAAGGGGGAGGGGCGGGCTGAGGCCCCGAGACCGCTCGGGGACCGGCGGAGGCCAGGCCCGCGGTAGGGGGCGGGGCGGGTGCCAGATCTGGGCGACCGGAGCTGGGTGCTGGAGCCGGACGGGGCGGCGGCGGGGAGGCGAGGGCCGCGGGTGGCGGGCGGGAGCGGGATCTGTAGAGGCCGGCCGCGGGGAGCGCCCATCGCCCCTTGGTTGGGCGAAGAGGGCCGGGAGGAGGCCACAGCTTGGGTGAGTCCGGCCGGCGGCGGGAAGAGGGGCCGCGACCGGGCCCTGAAGGCGTCCCGAAGGGGCTGCTGCAGGCTATGCTGGGGAGGGTGCGGGCCGCAGAGGGCGGGGTGGAGTTAGGCCAGGGGCCGGGGTCGGCACCCGCGAGGTAGCGCTCCGGGAGATCTGAGACAGCCGACGGAGAAACCGCTCGGACTTAGCCACGAGGAACTTGGACGGATCCAGGGAGCGGGGACGGGAATACACTGGGTCTTAGCAGCCTGAGATCCAGTTGGGGCAAATCTTACTCTTCTGCATCTGAGAATGTGAGGGTGGGAGAGCGTTGAGCGGGGATTTGAGGAGCTGCAGACCGAGTGTAGCTGATGCAGTAAAGGGAAGGGTGCCGCAAAAGTCCTTGGAACGAATTCCATCTCTGACAGTGGTTTACAAATGTATTGCGGCCCCTCCCCCACTTTTTGTATGCGTGTGTGTGATTGTCGAGTGACCGAGGACCGACACTTCCGAAAGGTGGATTTCTAGCTACACTGGGGCGGTTGTAGACAATTTGCAGAGATTAACCGCTAGAAGTTATGGGCCTCTGTTGAGCATTTGGGGGGCAGAGTTTGAAGCGGCTGCTGCTTCCTTTCAGTGACTTGGTTATGTCCTCAGTAGCTTGTGGTTGTGAAAGGCCTAGAGATTTTGTTCCATTGGAAGCTGTCATTGAGCTATAATGATT